GCTCACACTCAGCATCCAGATCCGAGCTCGACACATCTGCTGCAGGAGCATGTGTAGAGCGGCTACTTGGCTGTTGCACTGCCGTCGATTCGTTAAATCTTGCATCCCTCAGTGGTGACGCTGTACTGCTGTGCTCTGCACGCTCCACTGGCGACACTGTACTACTGTTCTCTACACCCCCCACTTCCTCCACTGTACTGCTGTGCTCTGCTCCCTGCACCTCCTCCTCTCCACTGTCCATTGGCTCCCAACCCACCATCGTCGTATCCCCACCCGGTGTGTACGGTACCTCATGTGATCTCTTCTCTGAGCCTTCCCGTTCATCTCTTCTCCTCCTCTTGAGCACCAACTTCTCATAAATACGCTTCGTCTCACGTGAAACACCATGGAGAGAACTGCAACACCCTCGATGACCTAATACGTGCATACTTGCCTCGTCGGACATCATTTGAGATACCCTCGCCATTCCTAGCTCTACCTCTGAGCATGATACACATACCATCTTTGCGCACTCTCCCGGCTCCTTGAATGTACTCCGAAATCGATGGAAGGTAATCCAGCATGATCACCAGCTTGACGTTTGCAATATCAATACCTTCGGTCACCAGCTTGGTTCCGATCATGACGCGAAAACTGTCGTCCCGCAAAAACTGCTCTATCCGTCCTGCCTTTTCTTGCGGTGATAATCCGCCGTGTATCCACATGCTTTTGAAAACCTGGTTCATTTGCGCGTGCAGGTTCACCGCAGCTTCCTGCTTTCCCACCACCACGATTGCCCGGCATTTACTATCGTACTGGAACAGCCGCCACAGGTAATTTAGTGCTGTGTCTTCACCTTTCTCCGTGTATTCCATGTGCTTGTACACATGTGTCAGTGCGGGCTCGGATATGTAGTTGAATAACGGAACATCCTGCGCCAGGATGTCTTCATCGCAGCTCACACGGCGCTCTCCTAGCTGTCCGCGAAATCCCATGAACCGCAACGCCCCTTCCGCAGACCCATTTTGTCCTGTGGCGGTTGTCAGCACCACCTTCCAGAATCTCCCAAACTCTAGGAGAGGCATGTTGCGGAAAGATTGTGCTCGATATTCCTGCTCGTCGTGAAGATTGTGGTACTCGTCTATCACTAGCATTCCCAGCTGCACTGCCCCGCCGTGCTTCTGATCCCACAAGTTTACCAAGTCTACGAATTTCATGCTGCCAAGATCATCGAATATCCCAACGTACACGTCAGCAAACTCGTAATCTTTATGTAGTCTCTGATTGAAGAGCGTTCGTACGTGGCCCACACGGAGGCCCTTGGATAGTCGCTCGATGGTTCCCGCCAAGAGAGCCGTGTATGGCACGAAAACAAACGACACCATGCGCTTGTGCTTTTTGGCGATTGCCATCATCGGCAGCTGAAACAACAGTGTTTTTCCGAATCCTGGCAGCGCGTGGATTACAATAATCCTGAGACTTGACATGTACACGTTGACACACGCCTCTACTTGCCCGGGCTTGAAGTCAAAGCTCCCATACAGAGAGCATCCTGCCTCTACAAGATCGTGCATTTGGGTGTTTTCCGGTTGAAATCTCGTGATACCCTGGCATACTTGCATTTTCTTGGTGTGTCTCATCGAGTCCGGGCATACCTGCTCCTTCCCGGTGCTTCTTCCTGCTTCTCGATGCGTATTTCCCCCTCTTCAAGTCCGAGCCAATTGATCCACATCTTGCTTTGCCTCATTTGAAGCGCATACATAGTCGGTCCACATAAACTC